TACTAGTAGTAAGGCACCTGTTACTACTAGCGTGGCACTTGTTACTATATATCTGTAAGTCGGGGAAAATTCACGATCAACAAGAGGTCAGGACACGGGCATGCGCCATGTGCAGGGAACTTGCACATTGCTGTCCGAGCGTTGTCGGACTGGTTGAGCAGCTGGTGCCTACGTTGTGCTCAGAGCGCGGCGAGGCCGCATGCGCCAAAAAGTTTGGTCCGGTATATTTCTAGGTATAGAAGTACACTGCCCGGGTACCCTGTTCGGTGTGGGTTCGGGTTCGGTTTGGGTTCGTGTTACCCTGATGCGGCCTTCGAGCTGCTGTGAACTGAACGGGAACGGGAACGGTTCAGTTCAGATTCGGGTTCGGGTTCGCGCGGCTTACATAATACGCAAATTGCAGCGGAAGTGAATTCGGAATTGTTTGTTAGCCCAAAAGCACTTAAGAAGGAACACAGCGCTGTAAATACATGTAAATACCAACGTCAACAAACACACGTGCTTCTATGACTATGCGCCGCCTGCCATGTAGTTTTGGAGAACTTGCAATCTTTCCAGGCATCTTCTTCCATCACAATTTGGTTGTACTTTGGGATTTCAACATTCCGCTCAGCAAGACCAGGATCCGAGCCCGGGCTTTCTTGCCTTGCCTGGTTCGAAGGCAGGAGCTTCGCGTCACCAAATTCTTAACTTTGGGCAAGTTGAGTGTTGCACCTCCTCCTCCACCCTGCAGGCAGAAATGTCAGATCTTCTCGCATTCATCTGGCTGTGCGAGGTCCGGGCAAAGGTACGTCTCGTCTCTCCTCACTTCCGTTCTCAAACTTTCCGAACAAAGCCCTAACTACGGAAACGTTGACAGAAAAATATTGAGGCATCGATTTCCAAGCATTCCTCGAAGCAAGCATTGCTCTGGGCCTGAGAGAAACACAAATTTTGTGGCGAAGCTTCAGCATAGCATGATAGCAATCTGTTGTCTTTCGCATTCAGAAAACACTGCGGACACTCTAAAGTACAGTTCTGCTCGTTCCGGCTTTGCCAATTTGAACAGCGAAGGCTCTGTCGTTGTGCAAAGGTGTGCAATTTTGATGCGCATTTTATGCGAAGAAAGAACGTCACTTGGTGGTGCTGGGGCCTGAATCATCAAGAATGGGGTAACGAGATGTTCATTTATCATGAACAGTAGCGAATTGAGAGGTTATATTTATGGAGTTGCTTGGCAGGTTACTAAGTCTAGTGTCAAGGTGGCTGTCTTTGCGCAATTTTGGCAAGAACTGCAAGCAAGGTTGAACAGGTACAAGAATTCAGCCCAAATGGCGGAGCCTCTCTTGTAAATTGAAGCATTGTTTTTCTTGTTGAAAGGAGCAAGATGTCTGCCATGTGTGCATTATGCGTGCCCTCAGAGCAGTACCTCATCCAGCGCAAAACCTTCAGGCTCGCCTGGGCTACCGCACTCGACCCATTCATCTGCTAAGCAAAAAGAAAAAGGCATTGGCATTGGATTGTTTTTTCTTCATTACAGCAACTTCAGGGCAACTGGGTCAAAGGTCGCCACAAACCACAACCTTGATCAAGAAGAATCTGAAAGACGAAAAACTGAAAGCCAAAGAGTTATTCCAGAGTCAAAGCCAAAGAGTAAATCCCAAAGAGCAAAGTCTTCCGATCTGCAACTTGGCTCCGGGATTCCAGCTCCGCTATCTAGCGTCTCCAAAACCTGCCTCACTACTCCATGCATGAAATAGTATGCCTCAGGAGCCACATCAAATATCACCAAATCATTCTAGATTCTATACGATGCAGAAATCTCTCCAAACTTCGCAGGCACCTCATGGCACCCTCGTTTGCAAGCTGATGCCTCAGAATTGACAACTTCGGACCGGAATGGGTGGATCTAGCAACGCTTGCGCATGCAGAATGAGCGAACGGCAAAAAGGTTTCATGTTCATTCAGTGAACTTCTAACAGAAAAAAGCAGAAGGCCCGTGCATAAAGGTTTATTGCCTTCATAATTGCATTCCCTTCCTGCAGAGCGTAACCGCGTCAAACAGCCGCCTAACAGACTGAAACTAGTCCCAAGGAGATGTGTCTTTGCACAGGCTTTGCAATGTTTCTTGAAAACATGTGAGGAATTCTCTAAGAGAAACCGTTCACATCCATCTCCGAAACAAAGGTTGTTCCACATTAGTGACTAGTAGCTTCTTGTTACTACTAGTAAGGCACTTGTTACTAGAAGCGATGCACTTGTTCCTAGTAGCGAACATTGTTACTAAAATCTGGACTCACCCAACATTTCAAAAGCTTTGGATGACTCGGCCTCTTCATGCGATCGAAAGGGCCGCAGCAAAAGCGGCAGCACGATGCACAACTCAGCAAGATCTCTTTCGTTGGAGGCGATCGCTATTTCCGTCTTTCTGTTTTTCTGTTCCTAATAGCTTCTTGTTACTACTAGTAAGGCACTTGTTACTAGAAGCGATGCACTTGTTCCTAATAGCTTCTGTTTTTCTCTTTCGTTTACTGTGGTGAACTCCACATTTCACCAGCTCAGTGCTGCTGAGCAATCTGGCCCAGATGGGGCTATTCTGGAGCAAAGGACTGGCACGCTCAGTTCGCAAAAGTAAAGGCCACCCAACAAAATCAATAGCCCTGTGGCCCTGTGTGGCAACTCTAACTACGGAGCCAAACAAGCACTTCCAAGAGTAGCTTCACGGCCAGCAAACAGCAAGTATAGCATTTAAACCTTAAATGACGAATGAAGTTTGCCATGCTCCATTTCACACACATCTAGGCAAACTACCAGCAATGCAACCTGTCGGATCCAATTGCCCTCTCCTGCACATGAAGGGCGTCATTTTCATACGCTTATGGAAATATAAGGAGCAACGTTGCCATCTTGGGCTTGTGCTGTGAGCCAAGCGAAGACAGCAAGAATGGAAAGGTTGGAGCTCCCTCCAAGGATCAACAGACCAGGTTTTGCATTTGCAGACTATATCTCAGTCAATTTTCACGTCATGGCATCGTCATCTTCATGAGATTCTTCCTTTCAAACCTGGACACCGTGTAGCCAGAACGCCGTTTCATTGAATTGGGCAATCACTCTCTTCTATGGCCCTAAATGCAATGTTCAAGTTCCACAGCGCTGAGCGGTGTAGACTGTAGGGAATCCTTTTCACTGGACTTCTCTTCTACTTGAATTCGGAAGCAAGAAAGGAAGGCTGTTTTCTCCAAATGCTGAAGCTTGGCCAGAGTTCCACATCGTAAGGGCCTTCTGACCACACACCATCCTGCGAAGCACCGCAAAGCACGACGTGAAGCACAACGCGAAGCTAGGTTGAAGGCCATCGCTTCTAAGTTGGAGGCCATATTAGATTGCAGCCCACCGTTACTAGGTTGGAGGCCATCACTTCTAGGTTGGAGGCCAACGCTGTTAGGTTGGAGGCCATTGTTAGGTGCCGCTCTTAGGTTGGAGGCCATTGTATTAGGTTGGAGGCCATTGCTAGGTAGGAGGCCATCGCTCTTAGGTTAGAGGCCATTGCTATTACGTTGGAGGCCATCGCTTCTAGGTTGAAGGCCATCACTCTTAGGTTGGGCCACCGCTTCCAGGTTGCAGGCCATCGCTCTTAGGGAGGGCATTGCTTCTGGGTTGGAGGCCATCGCTTTTAGGTTCGAGCCCATTGCTATTAGGTTGGAGGCCATTGCTACTAGATTGGAGGCCATCCCGTTTAGGTTGGAGGCCATCTCTCTAGGCCAACGCTGTTATGTTGGAGGCTATTGCCATCCCTATTTGGTTGGAGGCCATTGCTAGTAGGTTGGTGGCCATCGCTACTAGATTGAGGCCATCGCTGTTAGGGTGGAGGCATCGCATCTGCGGGTTGGAAGAAGCCATCGCTCTTATGGTGGAGGCCATTGCTAAATTATTACTATGACTTTCTAGTCATTGACACCCGAATCGTTTTGTTTGTTCAGTGACAAAGCTTTTCGCGCAAAGCTTTTCCTTCCAAGTTCACGGGAGGCATGGGTCAGGCGATGGCGCTGGAACACTTGAGCTCTTCCCGAGCAGGTAGATTAAATTACTGTATATAAATATATCATGGAAAATTGCTAGCTCTTAGGTTGGACACCATTGCTATTAGGTTGGAGGCCGTCGCTTCTAGGACGGAGGCTATCGCTCTTAGGGTGGGGGCAGCTGCTTCTAGGTTGGAGGCCATCTCTTAGGTTGGAGACCATTGCTATCAGATTGGAGGCCATCGCTTCTTGGTTGGAGGCCATTGCTATTAAGTTGAAGGCTACTCGTTTTTTGGCGCTATGTTTTAACGTCCTGAAACCGACAACCCGACCTGCAATTCAACTTCCAGCTGATAGCGGTTGATCTCCAGCCATTGCCCCATGCGAGGTTCGTGTGCAAGAAGAGACCCCCAAAGAACAAACACCTCTAAGAGCGCGGTTGTCGCTGTTCAAAGACTGCAAACAACAATTCACTTGGAAAACAGGTTGAACACTATAAGGCACCTCGGGAAGCTGCCAGCTCTTGCGGTAGCGATACTCCAAGCCTTGGTCTCTGAACCCTGGCGGCCAAACAATGCACCAACTGCAGCTATATCAAAGCTGCAACAGCCAATAGCATCGCCCTCGCAAACACACAGAAAGAAATGGGAAAAGCAGGGCGCACGGCTTCACAACAGTAGCACGAACAACATGTTTGCCCTTTGACACCAACTGGCTGCAACGTTGCTTTATGGCTACCAGCAACTGGAACGGTAAGCAAGACTACTTCTCCTAGCCCGACTACGACTACAGCTACCTATACTACCTCTGAAGTACAACCAGTTCTGCTTCCCTCAGCATTCCGCTGCCAGAGGGAGTGTTGCGTCTCTCATCAACAGGTCCAAGGTCCATAAGCAAACAGGCGATAAGCGCAGATTCACACACATAATGTAGATTATATATTGGCTGTGGAGTCACAGGCCGGCTTTCTGTGCTGCATGGCGGCAAGGACTGCAATCGGGAGCGCTTTCAAGCACTATTCCGGCACCAAAACAGCAGAAGTTTCCGTCCTAATGGCCCTAAGCTCCTCACAATGTTTCAACGCCGCTCCCTTTGGAGGTGCTCTTTCAGTTGCATTGTGCAGCGCCTCACCGCTGGCAACTTGGAATCAACAGGTATCAGGTAAGGTAATTATTCCTCCATCGCTACTAGGTTGGAGGCCATCGCTCTTAGCTTGAGGCCATCGCTACTAGGTTGGAGGCCATCGCTTTTAGGTCGGAGGCAATCGCTCTTAGGTTGGAGGCCACCGCTGTCGCTATTTGGGTTCCTTTTGCTATTAGGTCCCTTTTTTGGCAACTATGTTTTGGAGTCATATGATTCAGTTTGTCTTTCACGCGAAGACATAACTTTGCTTCAGCCTCAGGAAAGATCTCTCGCAGAACCGGCATTGGCTGCTCGAAGAACCGCTTTTGAGGACTGCCTTGACCTGGAGAACCTCAGCAGGTCCATTTTCAGATCGCTTGCTGATGAAAGCCCAAGAATCAGCAGCCCAAGCAAGAACTTCTGCCAAGGAACAGTCCAAATATCCTAGCGGCCCTTGTCCATGCACAAAGCTGTAAAAAGGTGTCGCGTGGCCTCAAGTACAAGTCACAATGCACCTCAAACCCACAAGTCTACAAGCCCCTCGTCTGGAGAGCAGAAGGCATAGAGATACCAAGTTTGAGGTTTGCTGGTTACAAGGGCGTCGCAACTCTGACACTTTGCTGCAATCTTGAAAAACCTCTGAGCACCAGATGGGTTGTCAAAACTTGCGTTTTGCCTGCTTGTTATGCTAATTCCTTATCAAAACGCACACCTCCATTGCACACTGGTACCCGTCACCACAGAAAACAAACAAGCGTTTGCACTGCAGTGGTTCCAGACTACTATTTGTGACTTCCAAGCGATAGTTTGCTTGAGTATCATCTGCATTACTGGGACGGCGATTGATATTTCATAGCACTGAAAACTGCTGAGATGGGATACTGCTGAATTTTGTGAACCTTCGGGCTGCAGGCCCTCTTGATGGATGAGCTTGAGCCAAGGCAAAAGAGGGCCTTTTTTTGCCAATGGTTGCAACCGTCACTCCTTGCACTGAACACACTTTCTTGTTGGTCTAAAAGGAATAAAATTCAATTCGAAGCATTGCCGCGCAGCTCCAGCACAAGCTTCGGGAGGCTTTGGCCTCCAAAATCAAAACTCTACACCAGTGAAAGGATCTTGCGTTCACTGTCCGCCTCTTCAGGCGGTAGCTCGTCCACAAGCCAGCGTGACGCCCTGTAAGCTCTGGGAGCTTGGCACCCCCTGGTCGTAGAAGAAGGTGATCTCTCCCGCTTGTCTGTGTCTTATATCAGGTTGCTCCTTGCGAACTGTGATCGAATCACTCTGTTGTTGATCTCGTTCTGAATGGCCTCGGGTGACGAAGTTGACATTCCTGATTCCTGCCAACCTTTGGGCGGCCAGTAGACGCCAGCTGCACGCGGTGGCGGTAGTGTCTCCCAGCACGAGTCAGAGAACGCCCTGCTAGGAGCTGAACCATGAGATAATGCTGGCTCGGTGGGTCCCACGCAACCATCATCAGGAAGAGGAATGCGTTGAGGATCTGGTTGCGCCACAAACTCTTCAGCTTCGTGATCAACTTCCTGGATAGAGAGCAAGTACACGAAGATCTGGACTTGATGTCGTGGTCTCCTGTGGCTTCTTACTCAGGTTGGGAGTGCACTGATCAGGGTCATCTTGAGGCCCCAGTCAATCTTTTGCCTCGCCCGATGATCTGGTTCTGGGAGTTGGAAGTCACGCTTCTGAATAGGTGCCTGTCCTGACTCCAAGAACTGGCCCCCCACGGGCGCTCAAAAACATGTGGAACCAATTTCATCACAGAGTTCACGAATAAACATACAAAACTTGAGAAGGGCTCGAGCGTGGCGAAGTTCCAATACACGTTCATCAAAATGCTGCGCCCACCGATGTCGAGTTCGGATTGTCAACTGTTGCGTTGTACTGAAAAGAGTGCATGGGTGAGCCAACAAAATTAGACCGGTTTCTCCGTCTTCACATAGTTGTATACATTAGCTTGAACTGTTTGCCGAAAAGGTTCCAACCAAGCACAATGTCAAAAATCTGCGCGCTGCGAAGTCCAAAGTTATCCAACTGTTTGCGAAAACAACAAGGATTGCAAATCCCTGTAGCTCTGCGCAATTGTTTCGCATCCAGACCAAAATCTCCTGATACATCTTGATCTGAGGTGACTTCTGCTGGATCGCCTCCTTGATACAGATTGCTAACTTCCTTCAAGGGAGTCCCTATCGGATCAGCATGTTCCATACACAACTGACGAAACTGGTTCCAGGTTCCAACAGGTTGCAGATTGTGCGTCAGGCCGGGGGCAAGGTTTGTCAACTTCCTGTCCTTCACGCCGCGGGATCCCGCTTGCTGCCATTCCTGGAATTCTACTGGAGTGATCAGCTCGATCAGATCCACGGCCATGCTGTTGGAGGCCACTTTGAAGCGCTGCATGGAGGTGTCTTCGCAATGAAGTCGCTGGAGAGCCAGAGCCAGCTAAGTGCTCAGCCCACAATACATCATATTCACAGCCACCAGGCACGAGGCGATTGACTTGATTGGTCTTCAAATCCTGCAAAAACACGCGTAATGCACCAGCCGGTCCCAGCAACGCTTTGCCGGGAAGTTTTCTGATACCAATTTCAATGTCAAACCAGCTTGCTCGTCCAAAACCAACTGCGTACCGCAGTGGAATAAAGGGCGACTGACCAAAAACGGTGCGCTCCGACGTGACGCGTCTTCCTAAACGGCTGGTATCAGAAAAATTCCACGTGGCCCAAGGCTGGGAAGAGCTGCAACTCTATTTGTACTGGATGTTTGCATGGTGGACACTCCGAAAATGATGCCCCTCATTGTTGAAACATATATCACCAGCTCTCTAGGTAGGTGTTCGTCCAGGCCAATAGCCATTCTTTGACAACCGGCATTGATTGTTGCACAACCACCATGAAAGGGAGTGTTCAGTGGGTGGAGGTGATAACATGGATGCAGCGGTGCGCTCATGTAAACGAAGTCGACACGCGCCCCCTGGTGTCCAGGCGCACCCATTGAGTTCATTTTCCACGCGCAAAAATACAATCTCCTCCGTACGCAGAATGGTCAAGAGGTGGAGTTCCTTGGCCGGAGTCGCCCTTTCCCTTTCCCTTCGGACACTCCCGGCTCTAGTGGCCAAGTTCGACATTTGGTCCGCTTCTTGACGGGGAAGGTGCCAGGTCGCAGGACCTCGTCGGCGTTCTTCTGTCTCTCAAGGCTCAAGACATCCAAGTCGGTCTTGCGGGCCCGCGGCCACCAAGCCTTCACCTCCGCGACCTGTAGAGAACCACGGGCGTAGCAAGAGCAGCTGTCACTGGAGAGCTGGCCGGCATAGACCAGCAAGAAGCCTTGGCACTCCGCACACAATAAGCACCCTTTTCTTTCAGACGACGTTCAGCATCATCCCATCGAAGCACGAACGACCGAACCCTATAATTCTTGGAGCACCTGAGGTGGTTGGTGATACAGGCTGCAAGCATCGATTCACGTTCTTCTGCCCGGAAGTACTCCGTGGGCCCATGCTCCACGCCGTTGTTCACATCATCGCCGCTTGTCATCAGCGGGCAAGAACTTCATATGTTTCCACGGAGCCAGTGAGGCCCTTCAAGAAGAGGAGTCCCGGTAGTTCGTTTCCACAGCTTCGCCTTGAACTTGTAATCTTTGAACTCCATACCCATCCCACTCAGAAGGCGCCATCCCGCACAGTATGTCCCCACTCTGCAAGAGGAAGCTGCGCCGGCGTCAAATGGTTGACGCCCCAGGTTCCATGGTCAGGTTGGCTTTTGATTGCAGGTGGTGTCATACACTCCAACGGCTGTCGCCACTGCGAGAACTGAAGATATTCAGCAGCAGGGCCCCTGGTGGCCTGTTGAGCATAACCTTCCTGACCCCGAGTCCAGGGTTCATGCTGGGGCTGCGCTCTCGGAAGGGGAGCCGGGCGCAAGCTGCTAGCAGCAGCGGCCGCACGGTCAGCAGCTAGGTCATCATCTGCAGGGCGATCGTCTTGGTGGTGTGAAGCTCGGCGTCCCTGGATCGGAACCGCGGCTCCGCTACCACTGCATTAGTGGAGCGTGAGCCTTCGGGCTGCAGACCCTGTTGACGAGGCCGGTGCCTTTTTGGCCAATGGTTGCAAGCGTCCATCTTCGCATTATCAAGTTGACGAAAAACAAGTTGTCCGGCTCAAACTGTGATCTCCAACCACGTGTCTTCACCCCCGGTCACCACCCAATGATAAACTTGAAAGTGGCCAGGGACGAAAGCGATGAAAAGGATAGAGAAGGGAAGAACAGGGGTGAGGGGAAAGGACGTCTCAGGGGTAGCGTGCGTTTATGTAGGGGATCTTTTGGAATTGCCCATAGCGCATTGAACTTCAGTATCCACACCCTTCTGGTCATTGGGGTGTATGACCGGTGTACGTTTCTTTAATTAATGTTTTCTCGTGAGTGCGGCAGACAGTGCCACGGCGGGTGCCATGGCAGGCAGATCACCTTGTGATGTTCTTGAAAGAATACAACTTCAGACCCAGGAAGACTGAGATTGATTGTCAGCAAGTAACTATGACACTACTGCAGATGTTTGGGTAGGGAGGGCGGGACGTGTTGTACCAAGTATGGCATGTCAAGCGATGTGTCTGGACACCGCTTCAGCAGGATCTCCCGTCAAACTTCTCACTCTTCCTCAATAGGTTTTTTTTCTCCTCGCCCTTGCCTTTGTTATCAATATTTTCTTACTGTTCACGTTGTTTCCTTCTCCTTCTTTTTCTCAAAACAGTCAGTTCTCTGGTTGTCCTCTTCTTATCTTCCAGTTTTCCTGCTGTTATCCGCATACTGAACTGCGTGGCCTCCTCTGTTTGGCGTCCTCCGCTCACCACCGACTTGTCTGGGCAAGTCTTCTTGTGGCAATGACTGCAACAGAGTGTGATATCACACTCCAGCTTTCCACAACATTCATTGATGCAAAAAAATCTGTTGAAACTGTTTGGGGCCTATGCTGGTATGATTTTGTCTCTGACGCTCCTTCTTCCTCTCCCTGCACCGTCTTCTTGTTCCTCTTTCTTTTCTTCTTCGCCTGTGGCCTCCGGAGCAGCGGCCGCTTCCCGGGCTGCAGCTCCGGTTGGGAGCGTTCCTCTGCTTTCCTATTCCTTTGCCGCCCCCTTTTCTACACGCGGCCTCATGGCTAGTCATCTTTGCGCGCACAAGAGAAAAGAGGCGTACTGAGGCCGCCAAGTGCAAGACGAAACCTGAGCACCAAGGCCTGAAAAGTCACGTAAAGCGCAAGCACAATGCAGAAGAGTCCGATCATGGAAGGCCCAAACGTTCCAAAAGCTTGGCAGGAAGCGGAAGCAGATGCCACTAGCTTGTTCTATATACAGTAGTTGAAACGGCCCAATTGCATCATCGTGATCCCAGCGTCACAGGATCACAATCAGCCGTGGAACAAGCTCAATGCGTGACTGCGGAACGGAGTGGTCAATCTTTCTAATCCAGCAAGGCCCATGAGATAGTTCCAAGTCAGGCCCTGTATCCGGCACAAGTGGGTAGCCTCGTTGGGCGCAGTCTTCACTGCTCTGCGCCACTGCTTTTTTGGCGGAAAGAATGCAAAGAAACTCAAGCCCAAAGACCCCGCACACAAAGATTTCTATAAAAAGGTGCAAACATGTCACGACTGCACTGCAAAAGGCATACACAAAAGGCACCCTTGGAAAGCCAACTGCTTGTTTTCTCGCTTGTGGATAATCCCTTGGCTGCAACAACTTAGCTAGTGACATGCAGTCAGGAAGAAAACACCATCATCTCCTCCACAGAGAAAGGATACAAAACCTCTTCAGCATAGTCAAAGGAATGCGGTTGCGCAAGGCCTGCTGGATGTTGTCTAAGATGCGCCATCACCTAGCCCAAGTACCCCTCAACCACACAGCTGCCTTATACTGAACATGCCCTCGCCCCCAACCAAGGTTTGAGCTGCTTCAGCTCCACGTTGGTGCACCAAGCAAAAGAACAAAGCAGCAATGATCTCGGAAAGCGCAACCATGTCTGACTCTGGACTTTCACACAAAGATTTCGCCCAAATGATGACGCCTGTGGCAGGAACACGATGGTGAGGCAGGTCAATTTTGCTGTCCGTTCCTGGCAAACTCAAGCCCCAGGCTTGATCTATGACTTTGACCCACTCTGGATAGGACACGGACCAGAAAACCTGACTCTTTTGACTTGCAACAAGCATGTCCATCGTCCGGTAGGTCACCTCCTGTAGCTGGCCAATTGTCTTCTGGAGGCCTTGCCCTTCGGTGGACAACGTAGCTGCGATTCAAAAATGGAAAACATGTCCAGCCTGTCAGCAATGAAAAAATGGGGAAGAATGGCAACCTAGACAAAGTTCAAACTCCAAGAGCCAAAAATGGAACAAGCAAAATTCAGTCTTACTGTGACAATCTTGCAGCTCAGGCGCAAAAAACGGTACTCCTGGCAAGCGTGTGCTTTTTTGGTCGCAACTCGCAACCTTCAAACATTGCAGCATGATAGCTTCTCAGCAGTTGAAAGAATGAACCCACGGAAGAATGAACGCGAAGTTAAAAAAAATGCCTGATAATAATTGAATCCACAAATTATTGGGAAGATAGGGGATGGCCCAACTTATTCTATCTACGGGGAGGAAATAGAAGTGGTATGCCAAATCCCTGGCGGCACGATCGACCGGAACGAGTACCCGACGGTTGGAGGGTCGAGTACCCGTGGTGGAAAGTGCGAATTGCCGGACGGACGAAGGCACGACGGCGAACGAACGAAGCGAAAAGCGACAAAAGGGGAAGCCGTCCACAGGACAGTGAACCCCGGCACCCTGCAAGGAAACGGACGGGCGTCCTTTTCCTTGAGCCAAATAAGTCACGGACGGAACATGTGTTTACATGTCCGATGTGAACCGTAACTAAATAGATAGACGATGTACAAGTAGTGGTTAGCTGTTACATAGTAGGGGTCCTCAAAAAATGACTACCCCCTCCCCGATGTGGGGCAGCTACACTTTGTACATGCACGAATTACCGCGCCGGACGGCAGCGGTTACGACGACCTACGAAGGCTTCGAACTGCTTGGAAGGCTCCTATCTGTCTTAGATGGGATCAAGCACTTTAAGTCCGTACGGATGCCAAGCAAGCATAGCGCTTTGAACCATTTCTGGGGTGGTAGCGCTTTGGTGAAAATGTCGGCAGCTTGTTCATTCGTATCGATGTACTTAATCTCGACAGATGGGTCGTCGATGCATTCTTTTAACGAACTTAGATTGATCTTGTGCGTTCGGCTGATGTGCCTTAACTTAGGTGAGAATCCCTTCTTTACTACTAGAATCGTGGCTTGGTTATCTTCTTGCATTACGAGGTTAACGGCTCGTCCAAGAAGTTTGTCCCACAGTTGCAGTGAAGGTAGGCCTTCCTGGTACAACGAGTAGGCTAGACTTACCACTTCCGATTCTGTAGTAGACCTTGACGTTGATGTCTGGCGCTTGGACACCCATGCTAGTGGAAAGTGGGTGTTAGGACCTTTAAGTACCAGGTATCCACCGGAGGTGGATTTAACGTCATGCTGGTCGCCGCCGAAGTCGGCATCCACAAATAACTCAAGCCACAGCTCACTGGGATCATCCCCGCATACCGCGGTTAATCTATAATCTAGTGAGTGTTGGATGTACTGGATTAACCGCAGTAACTTTTTATCATGTACGCGGGTCCATTTTTGTACTTTGGTGGCAAGGTCGTTAATTGGTTTAAGGATGTCGGGTCGCGCCAACCTAGCAAGCCACAGGGCTTTCATTAGGATAGAGCACGCCTTCGGAGCAAGTTCTCCGGGAGACTCTTCATCAGCTTGGGTGAACGTACCATCAACGAGGAAGGGCGTTTGGGCCGATTTTATTTTGTCAACACCAGCCACCGATTTATAAAGATCGATGGTTTGCTGCGCGTAGTCTTGCACGTCGAAGACTAGAGCGTCAGCACTGCCGCGCAAAGCAGCGGTCTCGGTGTATCCCGAGTCCGGCACCATGGAGTAAACATGGTTGCGACCTAAAATCCGGTATAATCCAAGACTCAAAGATAGAAGAAATTCCCGAATATTCAGAATTTCCATATTCTATTTGAAACTGCTTCTGGCGCGCGCGAAAAAAGCATTCAAATAGAAGAAAAGGGCTTCGCCAGAGCATAAAAGAGGTGCTTTATCATGTTATATAGCTACTTTTGCAAAAACCACTAAATAGTCTAATATCTAATATCTTCTGTTTGAAATCTGTCCGGTGAGGCACATCTTCTATTTGAAATGCTTGTTTTGGATCTTCTATTTGATTTCATTTTTGGTCCACGCAGATTGTTTCCTTCCTCCGGTCCGTTGTTTCTTCACTGCAGATGGCATCTCTGGGAAATATGCCAGCATTGGTGAATAGATCTGATAGATAGATACATAGATAGATACATATTCACAACAAAACAGCAAGAATATCCAGAAACATGGGAAGGTGTGCTTGGTGCAGGCGCTCAGTTTCAAATAGAAGATATTACCAGATTATTTTGTAACACCAAAATAATCACATATACATTTCTTCTATTTGATGTGCTTGGTTGCTTTGGCAATATCTTCTATTTGACCTTCACTTGTTGTTCTGCTGTCTTGTGGATCTGACCTTAAAAAAAAAGCTAAAAAACCTCGGGGTTTTTTACCTTTTGTACTGGGATTCTGGACATCTTGGGTTGTGCACTAGGTCCTCTGATGTTGGGGTTTAACTTGCACCGTCTGTCCCGGCTAAATGTTGGACAAGATCATCCAAAACTTCAAGAATTCACTGTAAATACCATGAAATCCTGCCTCTCTTGCAAGACCGTTCAAATAGAAGATATTGGAGTTCAGAGTGCCCAAACAACATCAAAAAAGCATCAACAAAGCACCTCTTGCACAAGGCATTTTCTTCTATCTAAAGCCTTGTTTGGAAACCACCAAAATTGCACCTTCTATTTGAAATATTCGAAACATTTCTTCTATCTCTGCGTCCCGGATTATAAATGGGCTCAGGTGGCTCGACATTTACTACGTTAGTAATTTCAGACCAAAACTTATCGTGTTGGTCGCGGGGGCCAGACAAAGTAAGGTCGTCTACATGCGTAGAAAGCATGAGCCGTGAGTTGGGGAACCAGAAGTTGCCAGGAAATTCTGGGATCTCCTCCCCTCCCATTTTATACAGGATCTCCTTAAGGTGTTGTTCCCACATTCCCCCCGCGTCGGGGTGACCATATAGGGCTTTAACCAAAAGGACTACCGGCTGCACAAATTTGTTTTTCCACCAGGCCGGTCGGAGCTCGGGCGGCAGCTCAATCCATGTTTTGTATTTGGATTTGAGCGTTGCCTGGACGTACGCTTTAACTGCGTCGGCCGCAGTGCACAGGTTGCCTGGAAGGCTTCCGTATGCAAGGCATGCGTTAAGGCCCTGGACGGAGGTGGGATTGGCTCCCAGCTCTTGGTACACCGCAGCTGCGCCGTGTTCATCTTTTGCGCAGTCACCGCGGTACACGATGCGGCCCTTCTTCTTCTGTAACTCTTTAGCTAGCTCGAAGAATTTTATTGATGCAATTGTCATTAGCTTACCGAAGTGGACTGAGATACCAGTGGCCTTAGCCTCGGCGCGGACATCTTCTTTCTCGCGGACAGACTCGTATTCCCACGCGCCTTCTTTGACGATGCCGGCCGCTTCGTCCTTCACCTTTTGCAAGGCTTCCGGATCATTCAGCATCTCTGACCTGCTAAGGAGCTTTGTGACCATTGCGGCAACTTCCCGCTCACCTTGCTCGGTGCGCGGTATCTGATATGCCTCGTGCATCAACGCATTGATATCCATCAGGCACTCGACCATTTGATCAACTGTCTCGTCGGTCTCGACAGCGATGGCCATAGCGTCGATGCCAGAAAGAGCGGAAACATGTTTCAACGCCTGCTCCTTACACCGATGTTCAAAATCATGTTGACATGAAAAACATGGCATGGCGGGGACAATAGGGTTGTGGAACATGTTTGGGTATAACGCCCTTGCTATTTCGACAGTCATCTGCCTGGGATAAAATGCTGTTCGAGCAGTCTGGGACCCGACTGCGTGGTCATGCTCATGGGGTTTATGTGGGCATTGGAAGCTCGAAAACAACTCAACGATTGCCTTGCTGGTGGTCATCAGTCGCCATCTTTTCTTTATTGGACGACCTCTGGTGGACTGAACACCAACAGCGCACCCATCAAACTCTACTGACATGAATTCCGGGTGGTTATCGAAGAACTGCTTAACATCTGTGCGCTGCCAACTTTCACACCCTTTTGGCAATTCGAACGTGACGGTTCCATTGCGTGCGAGAACAAGTTCTGCATTTGTGGCGAACTCAGCAAATAGGCGCTTAGATTCCTTTACTTGTCTCTTAATGAACTGAGCCCCCCCTTTTAGGCGGTTCACTCTTTGCCATGGAGAGCCCGAAGTACAGGGGATTGAAGCCCAGAGGTCGGGGGTCTCGGCGCAGTTGCTTATGTGATGGTGCAGTTGCGCCTGCATCTGTGAATCGTCAAGGTCGAGGTGTTCCTTAGACAATGCAATATGGGGAATACCCATCTCCAAAAAGGTCTCGTGCATTTGCGAGTCTGACGCGCACGCAAATTCGAACATGCATCGGGTCGGCCGCGCCTTGCGCGGTTTCTTCTTTTTCTTCTTCTTGGACTTAGACTTAGAAGCTTGAGCTGGTTGGGTTGACGATGGCATGCCAAACACCGGGACTCCACTCTCAGGGCGAGTGTGGATGAGTTGTGTCCTATATGTGGTATGTGGCGAAAGCGACAGCCCTGCTATCACAGTTGGAGTTGCATCAATGATGTGTGACTCATCCTCAGTGGCATCTTCGGATGTCAGTTGGAGGTGCGGTCTCGGGCTCCCGCGGTGGAAGTTCCTCCACGGGATGCCTTCCTTCTTTTGGCAAGAAGGTCACGCCTCTCCTCGTCAACCAGTTTGGCAAAACGTTTCCTACATGCGGGCGTGTGATATCGTGTTTTCTTTTCACGCGCTTTGCACCCTGGGGTTTCGCTAAACCGAATGATGCGATCCAAAGTGATATACACCCCCCTGGTTTTAGGGTCCATGGGAGTTGGTGGGACGGCATCGGCTCCTTCCAACCCAAAAGGGATTTCCTTCGTGGGGATATCTGGCATGTCAAGACGTGCGAGATCGTCGAGGACTCCTAAAGAACCTCCCTTCAAGTGCGCTAACTTAACAGAGGCCATCGGAAAACATGGAGGACCATCTTCAACATAAATCTCAGCTTCGGGGACTTCTTGGACATTGACGTGTTCACTAACTTTGTAGTCCATGTAATCAAGAACACGAACGACATAGCGGTACCGAAAACCAGCATCTATTCGCCAGCCTAAGAACAAACATGGGGACATGTTAGGCTCTAGGGTGCGTTTAGATACCCGCTTATCACGGTAGTACATCAACTGACCAAATGAATGTCTCATGCCATCAAAGGGCTTGCGAGTAAGCGCCTCCCATTGTGTCTTTACTGGTTCCAAAGCTGACTGACGGTCTGTCAAAACTCATGGAAAGACATGCAAAGGGATATGAGTGGGTGTGAAAGGAATATGGCAACCCAGATTGGAGGTGGATTGCTCTGCAGCACTCCTTCTCTTCGCGGATGTCTCTTTCCATCATGGCGTTATGGGGCCATCTGTTTGGCAAGGACGTTTCCGGAATCAACCCTACTTCATGCGCAGCCTGTTCCAGCTCTCCAGCTTCGTCCATCTTAACAAGGACGCGTGTAGCTACCTCGTTAGCCTTCAGGCCTAGGAAATGACGAAAGTTCTTGGGAACTGGCATCACGCTTACTCATGGGGTACGCTATTCTAGCGCCCGAGTAGGTGTCTCGGACTACGTGAAATGCTTAAGTGACCCCGCCCACGCCTTTGCCGGCGAAGTCCTCTCCTTTTGCCATTATGACGTCGTCGGTCGACAACTGCTCATATGGACCTTTAGGTGGGTCTATGAAGTCGTCATCTTTGACATCAGGTTTGCGTGAGACTCTCTTAGAAGTTGACTTCGAGATCTGACAAACTGGACAAAAGGGATTCTTGGGATAGTGTGTTAGAATATTATGCGGTTCCTCGAAAGCAGCTTTCTTAGGGTCATCCGCTGTTCTTGCTTCATCACCATCATACGCAAGTTCTATTAACGTCTTGTCGTCGTCCGGATGGGGCGGAATGCCCCCCGCGAATGCCTCAGCGGTCTCTGACCCTATGGCACTGGACCTAGGAGAAGCATCCTCGACAGACTCGACTGGCTCGCTCACGTCGTCTGCTGCGACGGATGGTGTGTATTCTTCGTCCGAAACAGGATCTGGCGTCGTCTCCGCGGGCGTCGCGTCGATGGCACCAAGTGGCTGGAGACGTTCCGGAGGAACAAACCGAATAGGTTTGACCTTTTCGTCATACTGCGGAACATACTCAACAACTCTAGATGCACAGATCCTATGTTTTCGGGGAATACGCAGTCCACACTTAGGGACTATGCTTGGTGGAATAAGGTACGGAACCTGTTCACGGGGATCCCAAATGAACATGTAACCTTTATCCATCACCGTCTTGCCAATGGATTGGGCTGGCGGGCATTCTTTTAAGATGTAGACTTCTTCACCCTCGAGGAGCTCACTTCCCGCAAATGCGAGGGAGTCAGCACTCTGTTGAGCACCGCCTCCTGTCGTGAAACTAACAGGGCTATTCAAAGGTGAGGCGCATTCGCGCATTTCTCGCGTGAGTGCTTGTCGACCGAACAGGTGTCTTCCCGCGGCTGTGTCCCAGAGCCATGAGACTTTCCCGTCCTCAAAAGCGGGCATGGCGTGAACCTGGGCGACAGCGGCAGTGGCCTTCGCAGGAGGCTTGCCTTTGGCGAATCGGAGGGACTTGGGGGGTGGCCCCTTATATTTATTGTTCGTGTCGTGTAGGAAGGGACAGCTCTTAGCACGGCATGAATTAAAAGCGAAGAAGGCACATGGCGTCTTGGCTTTCTGGGCCATGGTCATGTCCGCCACCTTAACTACGGCTTCCGACCGTGGGGTGGTCGGAGGGCCCTTCGGTTTCGGTTTTGGAGGACCTCTAGGTGTGGCCTTACCTTTGCCGAGTGGAGCTGCGGCCTTTTCCTTCTTGGGTTTCTTCTCCTTTTTAGGCTTAGGTTCCTTTTTAGGCTTGGGCTCCTTCCCTTCCTTAGTCGCGGGGTTCGCGGTTACCAACTTGGGGTTGTATGTCGTGGCCAAATCAGCTGTTTGTGAATCACGAAGCTTCTTATCAAAAGCATGTCGATTGGCCTTGACACGTTCCAGCTCGATGAACAGGTCAACTTTCTCCCATAACCATTTGGTGGTTCTGCGGTGACTACCAGCTGGGGCCTCACGGGACTTAGTTATCTTATTGGCCAAAGGTGTGAACTGCTCGAGCTCATCGAGGAGATGATTAAACAATGTGGTTTCCCGGGGTAGGTCATCAACAGGGATGGCCGCCATTATGTACCGGTACTTCTCCTGAAAGTTAATCAAATCTTCCACCTTATTGCCTTTAAGTCTTAGCGTGAGAAGGTTACGTTCACCTAACATTCCAATACGATCTTTCTCGAGTTGGAAGTGCCTGAAAATGGTAGCAAGCATGACTCTACCGCATGGCATACCTTTACCGGCAAGTCGGGACTCCTCAACCATCCGTTGAAAGATGATACCAAAACGTCCAGTTTTATAAACTTTTAACATCTTGGTGGCTATTTCCCGGTCTGTCCGTGGGAAGCGCCTGTCTGAGGAGAGATCTGAGTCCTCTCTGGTTAAGCACTCTTGGGCCCACATGTAAAGGTCATTACCGGCAGACTTCTGAAGGGACCCAATATTCATAAGAACTTGGTTTATGTACCCTCTAGCTTGACCGGAGTCTGATGGGATGTTGGGCAAGACCAGATTACTTAAGCCTTTCGTGTATACGATGTCTGACTCCTGCTCTGCGGGATCCACGCTCTCGGCTGGGTCGACAGACGAGGGAGGAGGAGGGGTCTCCCGGTTCATGGTCAACAATGGACAGTCAACCTCAGGATGGTTACCTCCACAAACCCTACACGAGTGGCTGGGCGAACTGTCGCCTTCATCGCTGGAACTTGATGAGGATGACGAGCTTGGAGACTCGTCTCCCGGCTTGGCTCGCTCGAACACTGGGTATGCGGGCGAAGCCCGGAACCGGTGGCGCCGAGGACGAGGTGGGTATATCAGCTAAACAGCTACTCGAAATGCCGGTTGCTCCACCCGTACCACCCATCAGCGCTACAGCAGCTGTTCCCGGTACGGGGGCGGCTGCATGCGGAGGAAGAGGTGGGGGCGGTGGAGGCATCAACATTGTTGGCGGTGGAGGAGGCGGTGGAACCGAACTCCTATGGTTGGGCCCGGACTCATGACGATTGGAGTCACTGTCTTAGGGGCGTTAAGCAGGGATTGCAAGTGACCAGCTAACAACTTTACGGTGTCTTGGAGGCTGGAGACCTGTGCTTCTAATGTTGTAGCGCTTGTGTTGCTTGAGCTTCAACAAACGATGCATAGTGCCTGGCCTGGTTGGCCTCGAGTGTTTGCTGCTCGGCAACGGTAGCCGCTTGTTGAGCAATTAGGGATGCATTATGCGCGTTTTGAATGGCAGCACCAGCAACGAAAGCAGCGGCCGGCATGTCACGGTTCGGATCTCTATAGGTGGTACGCCTACTACGGTTAGGGGACTAGGGGTCCTATGTAGTGGGGATCTATCCATTGTATGGGAGGTTGTTCGTTACTAGGTTCACGAATGCCCTCCAACGCTCTCCCCGACCCGGAACGTCTTCGACGAGTGGCATGCCTTTGCTCTGGGGTGGAAGGTGAAGACTCCATTGTGGTCGTAGTCCTGGGACGCGTGACCGGTGGTGCGGCGAGCGATGAACCCCTCAGGCGAGTGACAACGGACATGGCATGTGTGGTGGCGGTTGACGAAGTGCCTCTACCACGCCTAGAAGGAACCTCTTCAGGGGAGGACCTAGACCGTTCATGTGGGGGATCATCAGGCGGGGAAAACCCTGTATGGTTCGCCATGGTTCCCACCCAACTGCAAGTGCAGTTATTTTCTCGCTACACGAGGAGTCCTGACCACTCCAGCGCGCTGTGGCAGCTGTTGCGTGGTGACTGAACGAGTGCACTGAAAGAAAATTGTATGCATGACCTAACGTTCAACTAAAGTGACTTGAAGATGTTGAGATATTGGTCTCAACTGGAAGGACCTCAGTGGCTGGCGAATCAACAGGCGCAACCTCATCAACTTCTTCCTCACCGGCGGTTTCCGAGCCGGGCGGGGTGAAAGTGGGCTGTGATGATGAGACACCCGTTGTGACACGGGGAACGAGAGGAGGTTCGGTCTCTGAGACCTCCTCAAGTTCTTGGCCCGTGGCTTCCGCGCAAGGCGCGGTTCCAGCCACGTCCCCAAGGGAGGCTGCGGCCTCTTGGTCTTGGGGACCTTCGGACGTCGTGGCTGCGGCGGCAGCCGTGCTTGGCGAAGCGACGTCCGGCGCCTGCGGCGCAGGGTTAATCCTGCCCATGCCAGGGCGTTGGAGCAGCGTGAAACGTGCTGCGATGGGATCAAGGGGCCTTTCCGTATCTTGCGCGATACGGCTGATAACCAATTGAATCCACAAATTATTGGGAAGATAGGGGATGGCCCAACTTATTCTATCTACGGGGAGGAAATAGAAGTGGTATGCCAAATCCCTGGAGGCACGATTGACCGGAACGAGTACCCGACGGTTGGAGGGTCGAGTACCCATGGTGGAAAGTGCGAATTGCCGGACGGACGAAGGCACGACGGCGAACGACGGCCGAAGTGCAAAAGAGTGCGGAAGCGAAAAGCGACGAAAGGGGAAACCGTCCACAGGACAGTGAACCCCGGCACCCTGCAAGGAAACGGACGGGCGTCCTTTTCCTTGAGCCAAATAAGTCACGGACGGAACATGTGTTTACATGTCCGATGTGAACCGTAACTAAATAGATAGACGATGTACAAGTAGTGGTTAGCTGTTACATAGTAGGGGTCCTCAAAAAATGACTATAATTATGACAATTTCTGATCTTGCAGAAAAACTATGTCTACACAGTCTAGGTTATGAGCCGTGGGATTCAATCCGTCCTTGTGGGAGGCCAGGGACAGAAGACAAATGCTTATTCCCACGGCGAACAGCTGCGAGGGAAAATGCTTGACACCCAGCCCCACACCTCAAAGCTTTGTCAAAGAAACCGCTGGGCCAAGAAAGTAAATGGCTATCTCAAAAGCAGGACTAGGTACATGTTCCTTATATACAAATATATATATATATATGTTTGAGGGCTCAGCCAACGCAACAAAAAGGCAGGAAGGTTCCCAAAGTGACGGCCTCAAGGGAAACCAATGACTTGTTTTCGTCCAATATTTACTTTCAACCATGTTCAACCTCTACGCAAGCGATGTCTGCAAAGCTGGGCCCCCTGCCAGGCCCTCAAGGTACCAGTGCCAAGGGTGGCTACCGTAGAGAGCTCCACCATCGGCCATTAGGTTAAATTGAACAAAGTTCCTCAAAACAACATCAATGTGGAATTCTGTTTGCGCAGAAGGCTGGGTGGAACCACGGTGGAATATGCTAGAATACTTCAAAATCCGCGCGCGTCGAAGGTGCACAGCACGTTTTCGTAAATTCGCGTTAACCGCTAGCATCGCACCCCAAAAATTTTAGCTACGTGGGGTGGCCTTCTTGGTTCCAGATAATTATACCAGCATAGACCCCAAACGGCTTAGTCGGCAAGAACTGTTGCTGCTGTTGTTGCTGTTGTTGTGGCGGGCGGCGGCAGCCCCAGCTCCTTCCTCGGAAAGCAACGTAAACAGCACGACAGCAGAAGAACAACAGAATGGCCTGGGAGGACATGATGAGGACAACAGAGGACAAAAGGATGAGGGAAGGAAAACAACACGAACACGCCAAGCCGACAAAAGAAGGGCAAGCTGCGGCCGGACAACGCCAAAGGGGTACACACAAGGAGAAAGGGAAGAGAGGACAACAGAAAGACAAGACGACGACGGGAGCGGGAGGAGTACAAAGGCTGGCGCCGCGGCCAATGAATCAACACCTATACAACAAGAGGGCAATAGAAGAACTGGACGAGGCTCGCTGGCACGGCCTGACACTGTGGCCAGGTTCTCTTACAAGAGAACCCTGCAAGAATAAACACAATGCTTCGCGCACGCACGCTGTCATGGTGTGACGTCTACACGCTGCCACGCTGACATCTGGACAGGAAACCGACAAGGAGAGCCAGGCGGACATAGGGCTCACCGGCGCGGCCAACCTGGACACGAGGAGAAGGGGAACAAGAGGACAACAGGAGGACAAGAAGAGGGCAAATGAGGAAAGGAAAAAGCAAGCAACAGGAGGACAAGGTCAGGCAGCCGCAGCCAAGCTGCGCCAAAACAAGGACAAGGATAGCAGGCCAACACGAGGCTGGCGCGGCCAGGCACTGTGGTCAGTTTTTCGCTAAGAGTGAACACCAACAGCAGACAGGCAAGGAAATGCGACAGAACGGCCGACTTTTGGCGCGACTAAGAAGGTATGGGGAAACGGGCTTGGCAACCTCCCTCCACGCATCCACAGGCCACGCCTTGCCGTCTCCACACCTCGACCGCGCCTCGAGCCCTACACGCCTCGATGCCTCGACGCCTCTACGCCGACCCCGGGCTCCACGCCTCCACACCTCGACGCCTTGACGCCTCCACACCTCGACGCCTCGACACCTCCGCGCCTCCACACCTCGAAGCTTCGACTCTTGGCCTGGACGCTTCGGATTCGACGCCTCCACGCCTCCAAGACTCGATGCTTGGCGGCTTGGACGCTTCGACGCCTCGAAGCGTGGAAGCTTCACGTCGATCTTGTTGGACTGCAGTTGGCGTCTTTTGCGCCAGAGCATTTGGTCCAACTCCCAAGCCCAAAGACAAATCTGCAGAGCTTGCGTAGCCGCCTCTCTCATTTTATGAGCCAACACATTTACATCAATGATTGTTTCAACCGTCGATGAACTACCCGCATTCAAATACAAAGAATAGGCAGCAAAACAAAACGCAACTTGACCGCAATGCCAGGGCCCCACAAAGCGCGCCCTTCTCTTGGTCAGCGGTTTCTTCTTTCCTCTGTTCTGGTCTTTCAGAGATGAGCGGAATGGGGACAGTACAAGACACGTGTGTGTCCAGTGAGTGGTAAAGTGAGTTTGCAAGTGGGTAGCTTTCTCTCCGCCAAGAACGCTGGCTTTTGCTTCAAGCCACACTGGGTCGGTTTCGCCTCCTACGAAGATACAGTCATCGACATGGCCTCATATGACATTAACAGCTCAGGAGTGGGTCGGCAAATGACCGCCGGAATCCAAGTGACAGGAAATGTTCTCACATTGACGCAGTAACAGCGCTTTCTTTTGGAATTTACACCGTTTCACCAGAGGTCTTTGGTAAGAATGCTGTGTTTTCCAGGCCATTCCCATAGCACGCTGCCTCCCAAAGCAGCGCGCTAGCATTCTCGTATTTCATTGATAATGGCATATGTAGCGCTGAGCCTTCACATGCAGGGAGGCAGCACAGGGAAGACGTTAGCTGACTGTTTGACTGCGAATGCGCCGCAACAAAAACGGGTTCTGAGGTCAACCCACCTGAGGGATTCCGCTTGCTATGTGAACGTGAAGGCCCAATATGTTTTTGCTTCGCTTTCTGTCAGTGTGCATTACAAGATCTAAAGAATGGCGTTAGGCTGGCGCAAAGGCGGGCGCAAAGGCAGTGCCAAAGGCTAAGACGACCAACTGCAAGACCACCAAGCACAAAGGTGGTTGGATCATGGAAACACGGCGCCGACCAACTGGCCAGAAGGACAAGCGCTACCGCAGCCCTGAAGGGCAGTTTAGAATATTCGGCGAGGCTGTGAAAGCTGGTTTCGTATGCTCGCTGCTGTCTCTAGGTTTGGGATTCTTTCTCACTGTCGGTTTTGGAGTTTCATGCTCACGCAAGGAAAGAGCTGTTGGGCGTCGACTGCGCAATTCACGACATATACATTTGCCTGGTTTAACATATAGGTATATAGGTGATATGTATAGTTGAATACGCAGCAGGTGTTCGGAGTACAGGAAAAAGTGATGTGTTTTGCTGTGTGGCGCATGGCTCGACCCACAGGACAAACTGGCCTATACCACTCAGCAGCTACATACCATGTCATGTTCCATGTTGGTATGAAACCAAACAGCGTATTATACAACAAAGAGATTGAAACCTGAAGAAAGCAACCTGCCATCCAGCATTCCACATGCCAATGCTTGCGGGCGGGCTGAGCTCGCTTTGCAGCAGAGCACTACATGTCTTTGGACTGTCCAAACTTGGGCGCAAAACCTTCTTTAGCCAAAACGCATTGGCTGAGGTGCTGCAGTGAACACACATCCAGATCCACAGTGAAACGACGCAGAGATGCGGCGGTGAATGCCGACACTCCATATGAGCGTTTGCTGTAAATGATCGAAATTGAAAAGGACGACGGCTCCAAGCTGTCATTGTCATACGTGAATCCAGCTGCACTACTGCACCATGCTTCAACAAATGTCCTCGAACGCAAAACCTCTTCAACGCTACGATGGAAAACTTTCCAAACGACGCCACGCGCAAATGGACCCTCATGTTGTACACAGACGAAGTGAGCCCTGGCAATCAACTGAAAGTGCACAATAGACGCAAGCTGCAGTGTGTCTATTTCTCTGTCAAGGAACTCGGTGGTTTCAACTGGACGCAAGAACACGCGTGGCGCCTACTAACCTGTGCGCGAACAGATGTTGCTAACCAACTGAAGGGAGGGATGTCACAGTTGTTCAAGGCATGCGTCAAGCTGTTCTTTCGCGACGTTGGCAACTTTGAGCGTGGTATCAACTTGCGGGTTGGTAACACGAGCCGCATTCTGTGCTTTTCGCTTGGCAACATCGTGGCGGACGAAGCAGCTTTGAAACAAGCTTTTGACTGTAAAGGAGCATCAGGCAAGATGCTTCGTATGAGCTGCCAAACGACAACGTCCCGAAGGTACGCGCCTCATCCAGCGCGATAGGTCCAAATTTGTTCTGCGCTCCGACAGAAGTGTATGTGGATCACTTACGTGGGCTGGCTGCAGTCTTCCCAAAAAGAAATTCAAGGATGAGGAGATGAGGCTGGGGTTCAACTATTGTCCATCGTGAGCGCTGCTGGATGTTCAGCTGAGAGAAACACTCAAGCCAATCACTCAAATGTGTTACGCACGTCTTCGTGGCAGGCGCGAAGAGGTGACCTTGTCGTTAGACCTATCGCATATCGCATCGGCGTGGCTATTGCGCCAGTCTTGCGGGTCGTTCATTTGGCCACACATTCATATGGTGGCACCTCTGTCCAGCGCGGCTGGCGAGACATTGGTCATTGGCCATCTACCCTGCAGTCCGTGCATTTGTCCAGCACGTGGTCCAGGATGTCAAACGACGTTTTGTCTGTCCACCTATCCGAATCTGGAATTGTCCTTGACATACCAGCAGGCTCCGAGTCCCAAGTTACACAGGCATCGTAAGTTAGTAAGGAGGATGCCTTACTAACTCGAGAGTCTCTAAAAACTCGCTCTAGCATGCTCTAGCGCCTTAAAAACTCGAAGTTTCCCGCCCACCACGCTCATGTTTCCCGCCCACCATGCTCATGGAAGGGTCTGCTCTGCCTGCGTGATGGCTTTGCTGGAGCGCGGTGTGGGCCATTGAATGTTAGACTGCCAGCTATGAGAGCGACTGCGCAACTTTACAAGTCACGCCTGCTCAAATCCTATAGTTTATGTGTTGGACATTGAAATTTCCGCCCATCGCCTGCTCAAATCCTATAGTTTATGTGTTGGACATTGAAATTTCCGCCCATCGCCTGCTCAAATCCTATAGTTTATGTGTTGGACATTGAAATTTCCGCCCATGGCCTGCTCAAATCCTATAGTTATGTGTTGGATATTGAAAGTTCCGCCCATTGTCTAAAGTTTATATATTCCTCAGTCTAATTTTGGTGCTGTGTTGACAATATTGTACAGCTTTCCTTTACATTCATATACATTCATATAGCGCAGAGTGTTCACACATGAAACAACTTGCTACGTCGGAGCCGCTTCGAGATGTTTTAGATCCGGTTGTCCTCCTTTAGATCTCAGCAGGGTGTGTGAAGCATGTGTGAAGCACGGTTTGTCGCAAAGCCTGTCCTTTGTTCAGGATGTATGCCTTGCCACTTGAATCCACCCGCTGCCATTTGATCGTTTTTGTTGGGCAGGGCGGCGTTGAAAAGATCTGTGTGTTCCAGTTCCACTTTTTTTTCGCTCAGCTACCATGTCATGGATTTGTTTCATGCCTTGCACGTTGGAACAGGTTTTGCTTTTTGTTGCACTCCTGGCCCGCGCCGCCATCTCGCCGCCCTTGCTTCCATGATGAGTCGTGGAAGGCACGTTTGCCATAACTAACATGTAGTCACTGTGCCGTGCAGTCACGTGATGATGTTGTGCGTGAAATCTAGCTTTAG